TAAGTCCAGAAATAATGAAATTATATGAAATGTTATACATTATAACTTAAAATCAAGGGTTTATAAACTTAATAAATTATACAACTAATCAGAGCTTGAAATTGAAATTTTTTTTAAATTAAGCTTATTGATATATAAAATGATTCTTTTAACGCTTGCCACTCAATTTCTCCTATGATCTCTAAAATAATTTAATTAAGAATGTGACTGGTTGAATTAAATTAAATTAAATTCAACAAGTCATTAAATATATTTAGTTTAAAATATGTTTATTTAGACAAATTAAGATTATTAATTAATACATATGATTGTTGCAAAATAAATTTATTTTCCTATTTGTTATTTTTTAATTTAAGGGAATTTTTTAATTAACTTGAGCTTTAATAAATGTTAATCTTCATTTTAGGGAGTAACATAGAAATAATTTTGGTTGTTTACAATCTATTAAATTTTTACATTTTTTAGGAAAATTTCTTTCCTTTACTCTTATCTTTATTTTTATTAAATTTTGGCATTTTTGACAATTAGCTACTTCAAAAATGGGTAATGAAACCTTATCTTTATAAACTGAAACATCATCCTTAGTTTTGTTCTCTTCTGTCCATGTCCGGCTCATGTAAAAAATCTTTTTTTCTTGTATGTATCTTTCACCATTATCTTCAATTAAAAAAGTTTCTTCTTTCTTCTGGGTTATCAGTTCTCTCACCATATATAATATTTTTGTTGTCTTCATCTGTATTGTGTTGGTCATTTTCATATTCTCTTTCATTGTGTAAGTATCGTTCACCATTACCTTCAACATAAAGAGATTCTCTGATTACTTATAGATTGTCTATAATACTACCTGCTACATCGTTTTTGTCCTTATTTTCTGTAATTTGTATGTCTGGTACAAAATCTCTTTCTACGTATATATGTCATTCACCTTTTACTTCAATTTGAAATGTTTCGTTATTTTTTCATTGTTTCATTCATTTTTCATTTTATCATTGTCTTGTTCTTCATTATATTTACATGTTCTTTATCATTTTTCTCTAGGTTATTGACTTTACTCATTATAGTTTTGTATATATTTTTGATAATTGTATTATTAGAATTCTTAATTAATGTGGTTTTTTTTTTTAAAAAAGACATTTTGTTCAATATTCCTTAAAACGTAATAATATTTATTACTTGTATTTTGTTATTATGTATGGCCAAGTGGTTAAATGTAAATACAATTGTAATGGAAATGCATTATTATTAATTTTTTATTTATACTTAAACATAATACTATATATTCTAATAAGATTAATGAATTACCCCATTTATGTACATATATCCCACTTGACCTATGACTGTTGTTAGTTTGGATGTATCCAATATGAAAAATTAGGTTCATTGAATATTTGATAATTTTACATTTAAGGGTGTAAATAAGTTTTCTTCTGGAAGATATACTATATTTTTTTATACAATACACATACAAAGTGTTCAGTAAGTAAGAAAATAGTAAGGTATAATATTATATCTATATACATGTTAAGCAATTTTTTGTATTCTAAATGATGTACAAGAAGCAAAATAAGTGACTTCATTACTAACCTTCATCGGGCATGATATGTACTCAGTATTGAAGAAGTTAAAATATTTAAAAAGTACTAAAGAATTAAACTATAAAAAATAAATAATCAAACTAGAAATTTATTATTTACTGGAAATGAATGAAATTTCGGAGAGGTATAAGTTCATTAAGAGTATCAAAAGGATAGGTAGTGTATTGTGAAATACATAGTAGAACTAAAGGCAAAAGCTCAAAATTGCAAGTTTGGTGTATTTTTAGAAGAGGCTTTAAGAGGTCGTTTCGTTTTTGGTGTCGGAGAAAGCAAATTGAGGGCAATTCTACTGAAAGAAGGTAAATTAACTTTTTCCAAAGAGCCACATGCTGGGAAATGGCAGAAAAAGAAATTGAAAAAACCTCTAAATTAGTTTGCGATACATAAACAATAAAATGATGGTATTGATAGTCATAATAAAACCACATGTAGCAAATGTGGAAATAAACATGCGTCTGCTACTAAATGTCCAGCAAAAATGGTACAGGACCATAAACGTTCTAGGTTTGGGTATTTGGCACATTTTTGCTATAGGAGGATTAAACAAACGAAAATAATTCCAACTTATGTTAACGTTGGCTTCAAGGTCAGTCAAAATCATCTGACTTCATCGAAGAAATGCCAGATTTAATGACGGGACAGGTGGTGGAAACAAATAATACTAATATCAATCAAATATCATGTAGTCCGTTAAAGATTTTGGTTATGATCAATGGAATTAAAATGAATATGAGATAAACACAGCGGTATGTGTCTTTGTGATAGTTGAAAATACTATCAACAATTATGTAGTAAAATAAATCTGTGTAAAACAAACTTCTAAGTTCATGTCTGTTATAATAGAATTAATTGCTGTTGTTAAAACAAATATGTAAATGTGTGTCTTAATAATATTGTCGGTGATGTATATAAATTAAATTTATTGGCAATAAATAGTACTAAAAGTATTTCTTCATTGTTGGGCGATCATGGATAGATAAATTACGTCCAGACTGGCGAAATAAATAAAAGAAAGTGGTGTTATAAAACTAGTAAGTGACACTGAATTAAATAATAAGGATAGTATTGTAGGATATGTTAAAAATAAATTTCAACTACTAGTTAGTAAAGATGTGTCGTTCGCGAACGAACGGATCGCATTGAACGGGTCAAAGTAGTGAACGAAATGAATCAGATTGCCGAACCGTAGTGATCCGGATCCCCAAAAACTAATTTTTTCCCGTATAAATCACACTGAAACGATTTGATCGCTTACCAAATAACAATGATAACATATTCATATGTCATTTGTTTATACGACACATCCCTAATCCGAATCGCGAATCGAGAACCGCAAAAGAATCAAAACTATACTGAATGTTCCATTCAATTGACTCATAATATCTTTTAGATCGCGAACGGGTCTTTGAACCGGATCTTCTAGTTGACCTGATTCGAATGAATCGGATCACTTAGGTGAACCATAATTCCCATCTCTACTAGTTAGTGATAAGTATGGCCAGTGTATAAAAAAGTTTTAAGCTGAGATTGTGTTAAAACCATGAGTAACTTTTATAATCCATAAAACTTATACAATACCTTTTAGTATAAGAGATAAAGTGTCTGAAGAAATAAATAGATAATTTAAGCAAGATATATTATAGAACCCGTGAAATATAGTGATTGGGCTAGTCCCACAGTGGTAGTTCCAAAGCCTGATAGTTTATGTATTCTATAGATTACAAGGTAACAATAAATAAGATGATTAAGACTGAACATTATCCATTATTTAAAGCTGATGAACTGTTTCCTAAAAAATTTAATTTATTTATGGAAATAAATTTACAATATTTTCAGACTAGCAAGCATTTAAAGAAATATTTAGTCCAAATAAAGGCAGCACTACTGTAGTAGCTGTGTTTTTATCAATGTATGATTATGATTACAAGTATAAACCAGCCAAACAAATGGTGCATATAGCTGCGTTATCACACTTATCTTTAACAAATGGAAGAGATATTGAAGAAACTTATTAACAATTTCAGTATTATGGCTGTAATCTAAATATTGAAGAATTTAAAAAAGGATATCAAAAGATTAAAATGTTATTAAACATTTTTTTCTTTGACATTATAGTGTTCCAATAATTTAGATCAAAGGAATTTTATAAAGTTAAATCCCTATTTAATTAAACTTAGCATTAGAGAAAAGCGGACATTATATTCAAATATTTAACAAATCACAATGCATGATAGATGTGCTTCAAATGATCTTATTAAAGTCAGCTTATCTGAATGTACCCTTGACTCACCTTTAAATTTCTTTTTATTGAGTTCCTTGTTTTTATTAGATTTTGGATTTGTATTATTAAAAACCGTTAAGTCAGTAGATAAAACTTTTAGACCATCTGTTTTAATTGATATGAATATAAGTTGTAACTAAAATATTAATTCGTATCTGATAATTAAAATAAAGAGTTACAGCTTAACTAGTGTGTAATACTTATTGTAGAACACAAATAAAATATAAGTACACTTGTGTATATATATATATACGAAAGAAAAATTTTTAAGTATATAACAAATTAATGTTCAATACAAATATTTATACTGGAGTATAATGATTTTAATTAAAATTATATTTTTTATAATTTACTATTGACTTTAAAAAAAAAAGATATAAAACTTTTATTGACTTTAAGACTCTACTGCCTCGTAATTTTTAGATTATTAATATTAAAAAAGGCAAAATTAGGTAAATTTTAAAATCTTCTAAAACATTAGAATACATTTCCTAGTTTGGTCGTAAAAATATTAATATAACAATGTTTTTTTAAAAATTTATTGTCAAAATTATAATTTTAAAATAATTCAGAAAAAAAGTTGTATTTTGTATAATTATATACATTTAAATGCATTCATATATGCAAATAATAATAGTAATTGCATCAATTGTATGATTGTAATTTTTTGTTTTTATTGGACATACTTGTATTAGAGATACTAATGTTAGGATCAGGGGAGTGAATATCTATACCTGTAAGGGTCCCTCTTAGAAGTCTATAGATTGTACCTTTTTTTATGACCCCCAGAAACTTTGATCTAGTTGGGTCAATAGGCGCATAATTATATTAAATTATTATTACACACACAAAAGTAGCTACTCTTAAATGATAAAAGTAACAATCTAGAACTATAAGTAAATTAATTCTTAGTTAAAATTTAATTTAAACCTTAATTTTTTGATAAACTTACAATTGAGATAGTTCTGTACCAACATTCACTATGTTTTAGATGTAAATAGAGGGTATATATGTTACCTAATTAGATAACATATGGTCATATATAGTTATCAGAAACCCAATTTTTCACAGAAAATAATTCATAAAACTGAGGTAAAAATTTAATAGACATGAAATTATGCCAATTAAGTAAAACTTTTTAGTTTTATTTTAATATCTAGATATTTTAGTGAAAATATTTTTAGACTTAATATTAATATCAGAAATATTAGTATATTAAACTATACATAAAGGAATATTAGTATTCAACGTGTATGTGAACAAATACAAAAATCTTGTACAAAAGGTATTAATAAAATTATTTATGTAGTTCAAATAATTATCCATTACAAAGGTCTTCCCCTTCCTCGACCAGGTGCCTGTTGTTCATCACCACCAGATTTTGGATTTTTAACAGTTTGATCAACTGATAAAATAAGACATGAAGCTTCAATGGCAGCAGCTAAAGCATTCTTTTTAATAATTACTGGTTCCCAAACACAAGCTTCAAAGTTATCAGCAACATGTTCTTTATTTATATCAACACCAAAAGCAACACCACCTTGAGCATGTTTCTGTCGTAATTTGTTCAAAATATTTGTGGCATCAAAACCAGCATTATCACACAATTGACGTGGAATTATTTCAAGAGACTTTGCAATAGCTGCTACTATTAATTGTTCTTTGCCAGCTATTGATCTTGAATAATCACGAAGAACTTTACTAAGTTCCATCTCAACAGCACCTCCCCCTTTAAAATAATCAAGATTATGCATATTTATATAAATAAAACATTAAAGAAGAATTGTGATACATACCAGCTACAATAGAATCATTTTTTACAGTTCTACGCACAATCATAATAGCGTCATGTAAAGATCGTTCTGTTTCATCTAACAAATGCTCACCTCCACCACGTAATATAATTGTACAGGCTTTAGCATTAGGACAACCAGAGAAAATATTGAATCTATCACCTCCAATTTGTTTTTCTTCAAAAGATTCACATCTTCCCAATACAGAATCATTCAAATCATAAGTAGTAGCAACAATAACACCTCCACATGCTTTCATGGTACGTTTCAAATCTTCATCCACAACACGACCAGCACAAAACATATCTCTACAAAAAATATTTATTCATTAAAAAAAAAAAAAATTGCAATACCAAGAAAGTATACAGAATTATTCATTTATCATGAACTACTTAATTAATTGAAAAATAATACTGAGAATTTTATTTCTTGGTTTCTTTTAGGTACATGTGTTTTTCTCAATTTATAAATTATAATGTATTCTTATATTCATTCTTTATACCTTATAAGGGTAATTTGTTTAATAATAATGTAATTAAGAAAATGACTGATGGATAAAAATTTTTACACAAGTATTTATAAAGTTATTAACATTTTCTAATGTTGGCTGACGATTGTGAGAGACAGCTGTTGTTATTTTTAACAACTTTAATAACTTTCAAAATACTAGTCTGAACTTGTTATAAGCTAGTTAATTTCCTAATTAGATCATTATCTATTAAAAAACTAATTAATTATTTATGTAATGTTACCATTAATAAAAATAATTCTGACATATTTTTATAAAGGATGAATATAAAAAATACTTTATGATTGATAAATAAAAACAAATATGTACCTATAGAAAAACAAAAAAAAAATGTTCATTATATTTTATTTTTGATTCACTTATAAATGAATAACCCTGTAGTTTTTTCTCAAACCATTTTTTTAAAAACATTTACTTCCTTCTTTTTACTCACCTATCTGCAAAATACTGAGTAGCAACATCACCAATAGGCAATTTAGATAAAATAACTTGTGCTCCACTTTTGTAAATATGCTCCAATTTTTCATAAAGAATATTCCACTCAGTATCTACTACTTTTTGAAACTCCTTAAAGACAAAAAAATAAAAATACCAATGGAAAAGTAATTTTAGTATTGTAAAATGTTTAGCATTTTGTTTATTAACATATAAAATACACATATTATTTTTTTTATACAGGCGAGACCAAATCTAACTGCAAATCTAACTTTTAATATACTTAACATTTGACATTTTTCAAATACTTCGACTGTGAATATGTCAACAAATTTTCCAAAATATAAAAGGATAATATATAATTTTATAAAACTATTTACGTCATTTATTTTTAATTTTCCAACATTTTTTAGTACACATTTATAAAAAGAAATACAATTTACTATTAAAGTCAAATGACATAACTTTTAAATTTTATTATTTCTAAGAAATAAAATTATAAAACATTTTTTATCTAAATGTAGAATTTACTATAGACATATGATAACTATGATGAAAGGGAGATTTAATAAGTGTTATTCATTTATATTCAGTGAACCATTAAAATTAATTCTAGCATTAGAAACCACTTCTATCAATTTGAATTAAATTAAATTTTAATAATATTAATATTAGGTGCTCATTTGAACAATTATGATTCTTATTGGAAAAATTCAACAGCATAATAAAGTTAACATAAACTTTTATCATTTTCTTTAAAACTCAGACTAATGTGTATCTATTTGGCATAATAGAATAATTAAAAGACAATTCAAATATTAATAAACTTCAAAAAGGTGTAGAAATGTAACAATTAAATTAATATAAATTTTTGAATACAAATTGTTTTTCAAATCTATTCTAAAAAAAGGCCATATTACTCATAAAATTTCCAAAATTTTTTTTTTTACTAATAAGAAGTTAAGAATGTAGTCATGTAAAAAATTATTTAAAAAAAACCCAGCACAGGGGGTCGCGGCACAGTGGTGACGTGGCATAGTTGGATCAAGTATAATGATATCTGACAGTGATTAAAATCACTATAAAAAAAAACGGTTCATTCATGCAAATCTTTAAATAGTGTTTAATTTTGAAAAATTGGTGTATTATTCCAAAAGCTACACAATCTGCTAGTTCCTTATTAATATCCTGATTAAGATAAAGTATGTCTAATGAAAAAGGGATTATCTAAAAATATTATTTCTCATAAAAAATTGTGTTGATCCATACACTTTTCAATAAGTTATAGCATTATAAAGTTAAAAATGTAAAAAATAAAATCGAGAATTTTCACACAATAATAGCATTTGGTAGCCATTTTCACCGTGAAGACAAAATAAAGTCCGAAATTTTTTTTTTTCATAATAAAGTACATTATATTAACTTTAATTTAAGATATATATAAAAGTGTCAGACTTTCCGGAACACTTTCAAAAGTTAAGTGTAAAAGTAAATTTTTTGTGAAAAAGTTGTCATTTTAAATCCCCCCCCGTAGGCAGATAAAGGGTCAGATTTATAAAAAAAATATACCAAATAATAAGTAAAGACATCAAGCATCTATATAAAAAAAAAAAAATTTACTGAACCATAAATTTTCTAAAAAGTTATAGCATTATTAAATTAAAAATATAAAAAAGAATTATTTTACTAAAATCGTAATTTTTTATGAACTTTTTGATGTCTATTTTCACCACGAAAACAAGTTGAGAGGTCAAATTTTTTTTTTTCAAATTAAAGTATATTACATTAGCTTTAATTTAAGATATATATAAAAGTGTCAGACCTTCCGGAACATTTTCAAAAGTTATGTTGAAAAAGTAAATTTTTTGTGAAAAAGTTGTCATTTTAAATCCCCCCCTGTGGGCAGGTTAAGTGTCAGATTTATAAAAAAAATATACCAAATGATAAGTAAAGACATCAAGCATCTATATAAAAAAAAAAAAATTTACTGAACCATAAATTTTCTAAAAAGTTATAGCATTATTAAATTAAAAATATAAAAAAGAATTATTTTACTAAAATCGTAATTTTTTATGAACTTTTTGATGTCTATTTTCACCACGAAAACAAGTTGAGAGGTCAAATTTTTTTTTTTCAAATTAAAGTATATTACATTAGCTTTAATTTAAGATATATATAAAAGTGTCAGACCTTCCGGAACATTTTCAAAAGTTAAGTTGAAAAAGTTAATTTTTTGTGAAAAAGTTGTCATTTTAAATCGTCCTCTGTGGGAAGGTTAAGTGTCAGATTTACAAAAAAAATATACCAAATGATAGGTAAAGACATCAAGCATCTATAAAAAAAAAAAAATGATATTGATATGTTTATTTTTGAAAAAGTTACGGCAATTTTTAGTAAAAAAAATTGAAAACATTTGTAATTTTTTTGGACGTTTCCCCCATTTACAGGGAACGAGGGAAATTTTTTTCAATTTTTGAGGGTAATGTCTTCGACTAGATACGATTTGTGATCTTTTGACGTATTGTTGAAAGAAATCTATTTGGTGAGAGCTGAGAAAAAGTAGTAACAGACACAAAAAAACATCATAGTAAAACCAATACCTTCTCAGCTTCGCATCGAAGCTAAAATGTAAAATATTTACTAGATAAAGAGTTGTCAGTTAGATCTATTCCTATTCCTACATATAAAATAAAAATCATGATTATTTTTGTAACATACCTCAACAGTATTCACTCTCACTTCAGCATTGGAACGTTCGGCTTTCAATTCAAGTTCTATATTAAGTAAAGCAATTTTAGGATTTTTGTAATGTTTAGGTTGCATCTCAAAACCAGCATATGAGAAAGTTTTTTTAAATGAAACACCAGTAATAAGTTGCGAGTCCTATAAAAATAAAGGTTAAAGTATATGAAAGTATTCAAATCACAAATTAAATAGTTATATAAGTATATTAATAATTTGAATCAAAATTTGTTAGAAAAAATAAAAAATTTCCCAGTGATCACACATGAAACTAACTAATAAATAAATTTTTAGTCATTTAACTCCACAAAACACTTTAGTATACATTTTTTAAAAATTTTAATGGAATTACCTGTAAACCTCCTCCTTGAACTTTTTTAATACCTATCATATTTAAAGGTAATAATTCATCTAATAACAATACTGCATCAACAGCAATCTTTGAAAAGAATTCTTTTTCTTGATGTATAAGTTTTGAATTAAGAGCTGTAGCAGCACATTTTTGAAGAAAAGTCCGATATTCATCATCAGATGTAAATTTCATCTAAAAAAAAATAAAGGTTAATTTACATCTTATTTCAAGCTGAATAAATTTTTGTAATGACCTTAAAAGCAATTTGATCAATTCTATCCAAGGCAATTTTCAATGCTTTCCTTAATGCTTTGATGATAATTCTAGGATGTACTCCTTCTTCAACATATGGCTTTACTTGCTTAAGGAATTCTCCAGCAAGTAAAACAACACTAGTAGTTCCATCACCAACTTCTGCATCTTGAGATTTTGCAATATCAACTAAAGTTTTAGCTGCTGGGTGAACAATATCAGATATTTTCATTATGGTAGCTCCATCATTAGAAATAGTTACTGTTCCACGGCTATCAAGAATCAATTTGTCCATTCCTCGTGGACCTAAAGTTGTACGGATTGCTTCTACAACTGCTTGGCAAGCAGTTATGTTAGACAAAAGTTGCGATTTACCTTGACTATCTTCTGTCCCTTCTTTTAGCAATAATATAGGTGGACGCTAAACATAAGTGGACAAATAAATACAATGTATTAATTAATAATAAAAATAGAAACAAAATTAAAAAATTGTTTTAACTAAATAAGTACATAAATGTAAAATACAATGAAAATATAAAATATAAACTCAATTATTGATTAAATAACTATTATTTATAACAAAAGAATCTTTATATAATATACCAAGATTCATTTCTTACAACATATATGATAAATAATTTTGTACAACAAATATCTAATAATACAATGGAAATCATAAAAAAATCAAAGAGATAATAGTTTTAAAATATAAAAATTTCCAACATTAAGGAAAAAATATCTAACAATTTAATTAATAATAAAAAGTATGTAACATAGTTTAAATGTATATAATTAAGATGATATAAACTGTATTATATAATATAGCAATGATCGATAGTTTTCCTTTTAATTTTCCATGCTTACGAAATGAAAAATGGAATATTTAATCTAATGAAGATTATATCATAAAAATATTAGATTAATTACACTCATGTGGTAAAAAAAAGAAAGAAACGCCTTCCAAACATTTTACAAAAATTAAATAATAAATCTGTAAAACAAAAGTAATAAAAGTGAAGTACAAACCATTTTGAAGATTTTTGGTGTACTATTCAAACAGACTAACTCCAATTAGTTAAATAAATTTCAAAAAGTTTATTCACTGTAGAAAAAAAACTTTAAGTTTATTCACTGTTAGAAAATTTTCTCTAACCTCAAAGATTATCACAGGCTATTAAATCCAAAGAGTTTATACATAAAAACTATGTAAAGGACTACCATAATTTCTTTAAGCATTGCCATTGATTAAATGTATCAGTGGCACCGTTAAATCGTTGAAATTAAGAATAATTATATATTAAAATGTAATACGTTAAGGACATAATTATAAAACATTTTAAAATTGTTTTTTTATTAAATCAAGTCAAATAATAAAATTCAATATTTTTAGATTTTATTACATAATATAATAAAATCTCGTGAATTTGCATCACTGAACAGTTAAAATCCGTTTGGATTTATATTTTTTAAAACAATAGATTTACTAAAATCTTTAATTTCATTTTCAGATAAATTATCTTCATTTTATTCTTCCTCACTTTAATTCCAACTACTTGGGGTCGGCTCCAAATTTTCTAAAAAATATTTTTCTTATAAAACACTTCCCAGGCATCAAAGTTTATTCACTTAACTCTTGTCATTTTAGATCTCTAATTTCATCCTGTGGTACTTAAAATAAAAATTTACTTTTTAATTTACAAATACTGCAATTTTAAGCATTATTTAAAAATCATAGATAATTCAGTAGGTTACACTACAGTTAGTGAATATGTAATAATTTGCTTCATCTTATAAATGCAACCCTTAAATATACTCCTTTACATAAGTACATTTGACTAAATATTAGTTTTTTAATTTATAATACAACACTATCTATTAATTGAATATTAGCTGTTTTAACTATTTTCAACTAGATCGCGCTGTATAGACTAGTCCGAACGCTATACCAATAACAACTCAACTTGGTAGTCGAAACCTGTCTTTACAACCGTGTTCTACATGTTCAATATTTTACGCAATCCATAGTGTAATACTCTATGGTTTTGTCACAAGTTAGTTATCAGCTATCCATTGATCATCAAGAGTACATTTTTAAAGTGATAAAAGAAACAGCTGTTTTGCTTATTATGACTATAATACTTGTACTAATCTCAAATAATCGTTAACTCATTCAAATGGCATCTCAATTTGTGCGAACTAGTTTTTTTTACAGTCCAGGACTTGACGCGAGACACTTGTACAAATCAAATTTTTGTTCTTATATCTGTTGATACGTTTAAAAATACGTTAAATTTGAACGTATTAATATTGTCTTCATAGACAATAATATTATGGATATGGTATCATGGTTTAACACACAGCATTTCTACCAAACCTACCTATGTATTTAGTTATTTTATTTACACCATGTATAAAATATAAATTTTTATCGTCTATTAATAATTAATAGATGATATAATTATTATAGGTACGATCATACGAACTCGTAACGAAATAGATTAATAAAAATCATAATTTAGTTCAAATGATTTAATTAAACTTAAAATTAATTACCACATTATTTGAGTGGTGAGATATATCATCCATTGGGATAATATATTTTTCAGCTACCAACCCTTTGCCATACGTCTTCATATGCATGTATACTTTTACATGAAATTAAAATCATTTAATATAAAAATTTCGTAGAAACCAATAAAATAAAATTATACAGTTGTAGAACTCATGTGATGTTCATTTAAAGCAGTGTTTCTCAACCTTTTTACCACTACGGACCACTTTGGCAATATTTTATAGGTCGCGGACCCCCTCAATTTTATGAAAATTAGGAAAACCTTTTTTTTCTCATTAACAAGAATACACAAAATTTATCAATAAATGTTAATTTTTATTACTTTACTTTATATTTTATTACTATACTTAACTAATATATAATTATACTTTACTATACAAAATAATTTACATAATGTGATTTTTGTAAAAAATCTATGGGACCACGAACCCCCTATGAATGGCTCGCGGACCACCGGTTGGGAAACACTGATTTAAAGTATCCAATTAAGTATTGTTTTTATGTGAATTCTAAGTTATTTAAATTATACATTTATTTTTGGATAAGCTGAGAATTTATTTTTTTTTTTTTGCTTAATAAATATTTTAGAGGAGCAACAAAATATAAACTATATAAATATTGTTTCTAAAAATTGTGTGCTATTATTATATTCGAACAACATAAACATACATAAACAACATAAAATTAAATAGATCGCATAAACGAGCAAAATACCGAAGTCATTTTGGTTTTTGTACATTTTTCTTATATTTTGTAAATTAGTTTATCTGTATGTTTTTTATGAAAAAATTATTACATAAACCAAAAATATTACGCGACTGCTTTTGAAACCTTAATAAAACTTAAATTTGACCTAATTCAAATTGAAGTTTGGTTAAGGTTTTAAAAGCAATTTTATAGTATTTACGGTTTATACAATTGTTAAACTAACAAATTATTGAAATAAATACGATATAGCTCTACTATAATGTCGAAAAATCTAAATTATTACAGATTCTGACTCAATAATATTTATTGTATTGATTTTTATTAACTAGTAATGTAAAAATTTATTTACTATGGTTATAATTGTTGGAAGTACCAACATAAAACCAGATAAAACTATAATTTATACTTTATGATACTGGACATTATTTTACATAACATTTTATTTTGTATATTGTAACATATAATTATTATGTGTCTATATATTTATTTTTGGCGTATACAAATTTTCAAAAAGTAAGCACGGTTAATCGGTGTTTTATTGTACTATTATTATTTATTACAAACTCAATTGCGATAAAAATTAATTACATCAACTAACTTTCCATCATTTTTATTTATTATAATTGTCATAAATAATGAAATGTTAAGAATCAGTGTCATATCCAGAGATGGTATTAGAGGGTTGTAATCTTTATCGAAATGATAAGAAATGTTTTAATTTTAAACATCCATAAAAAATTTGTTTAATGACATTTTTTTGACTAATCAATAACTAAGCGATTTGCGGATCAAGAGGATAACTTTTTAGCAAGCAAAAAATAAAAATCAATAATACATGTTAAATACCCCCCCCACCCATGCAAAAAAAAAATTCTGCATAAATTAATATTTTAAATTCAATAGAATTGTTTATTTCTTCTTCAAAAATAATAAATTATTAGCTAAATTTATTTTTATAATAACAATAAAAATACTAATTTTTTTATAATAATTTATAGCAACTTATTTAACAACTATACAATATAATTCAAACCCATATTTATATTATAATTCATTTAATCTTTATGTTCTTTAATAACCATTTGTTCTTCAGGAATTTCAAAATCTTCAGCCAATTTCTTAGCTAAAAAGTAAATTTCTGCTAAAGCTATTATTAAAGCACAAATTATTCCTAACAGTAACTTGAAACCTAAATCAAATGTTTTGTTTACTATTAGTTCAATTCCATGAAATCCAAAAAGAAATCCTGCAGCAGTAGAAATAACAAATTGAAGAACAGCTATTAATTGTTTGTTAATTTGTTTTACTGAAAACAACATTATTGATACATAAAAAAAATACATTAACTTAAACTGAAAAATTATCTTACTATGATAGGAAATTGTGTCTTCTGGTAGTTTTACTCGGCGAAAATCTACATTTTTTGTCATCGCATCATACTGTTTATTCTTAAGACGGTTTTCAAGCTTTCTAATTCTTTCCTTATATTCAAAACTTGGTTCAATTACAGGTGGACTAGGCAGAATTATGTTATCTTTTTTTAATAATGTATGAAGTGGTGGACCATTTATAAGTTTTAAATTTATATTAAGCCATTTTAAGGCATCTATATCCAAAAATTTTGTAGAAAACGATTCATTTATATGAATAGGAATGTCTATTTTGGAGTTTTTTATATCTAAAAATAATTCTGATAATTTTTGATCAACTCTTATTTTAATTTTGTAATCCATTTCTATTGGTTATCAGATATAAGTTTATTTATTGTTTCTTCGTATTGTAATTTTATTGATTTAATTTTTTCTTCAATGTTTTTATCTATAGTTTCATATCGTATTTTCAAATCAGATTTAAAAAGATCAAATTCTTCTTGTCTTTTTCTTTGACGTTCTTGTTTATCATTCAATTCTTCTTCCTAAAAGGATATAGAGATATAATATTTTAACATTTTGACAATATAATTTATTGTTATAGAACAATATAGTTCTAATTTATTTTATAAGTTGATTAAAAACTTAATGTTATACAAATTTGATTCCTTAAAACATATATATTTAAATTGTATTTAATACATATAATTCTTTATTTGACTTAAATAACCAAGTATAAATTATCTTAAATAAATCTATTAACTTCTTCAGCTGTAATATGTAGTTGAAAAATAGAAAATGAACTATTTACAGCTACAATTTATTTTTTTAAAAGCAGAGCTAAACATAATAATGTGTGCCTTTTTAAAACTTTCACTGGTTAATTTTTAAATCATGGTATTTATAATAATCATAAAGACACAAGTAAAATTTATTTAAATATTATAAAACATAGTGTGTATACAGAATGGTTCACTTATCATGAACCACTTAATTAATAAAAAAATTTAAATAATATTAATAATTTTGTTATTTTGTTTTTTTTGTTCAATGTATCTATACATTTTTCAATCATAAAGAAAATGATTAGTCAATAACAACTTTTTGGTATCTTGGAAGTTAATGATATATTTATATCTAGGTGAGAAGAAGAGTACAACCGTGAATTGTGTAGTCATAAAAATAGCAGCACCCACTTATCACCACCAGTAACATAATTTTAATATGTTAACTTCTAAATTCTGGTTCAATAGTTGTTAACCATCAGTTATTTTTTTAAATAAATCATTATCTATTAAATAAAATAGTTAATTAGGGGTGTTGCCATTTAAGAAATTAAAGGTTACACTCTGATAAGGTATAAAAGATGAACATAAGAAAACCTTAAGATTAAAAAATTGAGAGAACATTGAACTAAAAGAAACAAATAACAAAATTACTAATATAATTTTTATTTTTCGATTAATTATGTGGTTTATGATAAGTGAACCACTCTATATATACACACTATGTGGAAAGAGTACTTTGAAAAATTACTGAATGAGTAGCCAAAAGAGACATTGGAGGATATCTCGTGGAATGAGGGACTGGTAGATTTAATTAGTGAGAAAGAGGTATGGGAGGCTGTGGCATCAATGAAAAAGAATAAAGCAGTAGAACCAGATGAAGTGCTAGTAGAAGTATGGAAAATATAAGGCGATGTTGGCATAAGGTGGTTGTAGGAACTTTTAAATAAAATCTTATTAGAAGGGAAAATTCCAAATGAATGGAGGAATAGTATTGTGGTGCCAGTATTTTGTGTGAGGTAACTAATAGAAAAGTTTAGGGAAAAGAAGAAAAAGCGTTGTATGGTATTTATAGATTTGAAGAAAGCATACAATAGAGTACAGAACGTTGAAGGAAGAAGGGGTAAAGAAAGACAAAAAAAGAGATGGAGGGATGCTATTGAATGCGATATGAGGACAATTGATGTGAGTGTAGATGATGTGGGAGATCGTGTCAAGTGGTAGTTTAGAATAAAGGTGGCCGACCCCAAGTAGTTGGGATTATGGCGAGGAACAAGAAGAAGTGGTTCATGATAAGTAAATAACCCTATATATACCAATGAATTTTTTACTAATGTTTTAAAATAATACGAATAAAATTTGTAATACTAATAATAATAAAATATTGAGTATATTGATATAATTACAGTTATGATTTTATTTTCTTGATTTAAAATGTCAGCACTTAAATCCAAAGCTTTATTTATAACTTTACTTAAAGAAGATAAATTTTGATCACTTGTTAGTAAAAAGTCATTAATTTTATCTTCCTTTATATCTCCTATAAGTTCATTAACGTTTTTGAGATTTTCTTCATCAAATTTATACTGCTTTTTCTATAAATAAAATATTAAACATCTATTAGCTTAAATATATCTAAAATTCAAGAAAACTTTCTTACATCAAACTCTGATAAAAAATATTTTATTTCTCCTTGTAAAAATGGCCGATGGCTAAATAGCCTGTCCCAGATATCACATAAATCTAAAAATTTGAAGTTATAAGTACAAAAATTAAGAATTGATTTTGATATAAGGGTTGACAATATCGTTTTTAAAATGATGACGAGATGTATCAAAAAACACAATACATACAAACTGAATTGGCTAGTGTCAAAGCTCTAGAGAAAAAGATTCAACTGCTAAATTAATTTTAAATTTAAGAACATAAAATAAAGATTGAGTTTTAGTAAAATGAATTGAGATAAGAAATTATTGTTATTAATAACTGTAGATATATATTGAAAAATAGAATTTTTTGTTGAAGTATAAAACAAATTCTTAATATGTTAATATTAAGATGAATAAATTATTTCTATCTTTTAACAATTTAACATTGGATTACATTTTAATCGACTGTTAAGAAATATAATGTATAAAATTTATAAATCATAAATTATAATTTAAAATTGGGCGTATTAAATTTTAAATATTGATTACTACATAAAAAAGTGACTCTATTTCTTACCTTTAAACACGTCAGTCATCTAGCAAAATAGATTTATATTAAAAATTACAATTAAAAAAAATTATAATAATTCCCTCATGAATTAATTGTAATTTAATTGAATTTAGTATTATTAATATATTAAGGACATTTACAACAGATTTTCAATATGATGTAAATGTTATCATTTTTTAGCTTTTGTGTTATATTAATGCTAAATCAAAAAGTTACAGTGTGGCCATTAAACAAGAACAACAATTAATCAAAAATTATTAAGAGCTTTTTTTTTTTATAAAATTTACACAAAACCATTTTATTTATTTTTTCAAATTAATATTATTTTTTAAAAAGCTTATACGATATTAAGAGAGACCTCAGATTATTAAATAGTTAGTACATTTGAGGTTCCCATTAATTGTTAAATTGTTGCATTCATACAACATGATAAGTCCTTATTTTTAGGACCTTAAGGCAAAAACATTTTATACAATGGTAATCTATAGCCAAAAGCATATCATCGCAGTGTCTTGCAGTTATATTATTATAAAATGAGATCATAAAATAATTGTTGAGTTTAATCTTTCTAACAATCAATGTAGTAAGAGTAATTAAAATTTTAGAAAGGTCAGGCTCGGATTAAAGGTGGTATTGGGATGGGGTGAATGACTTACGAGCTTTAGACGCTCATCTTGAATTTTACTGGCCTAGTCTTAATTAGTGACTATTTATTTTGTTTTTTTGCTCATTACTTTTTTTATAGTAGCTATAATTTTCAATTTCAAGGTACTACACTAGGGCTCATATAAATTTTAATTCGGCCCTAAGAAGAGCACAAGTTACAACTTAAATATTTCCTGTGGAGGGAGATTTATCATCTTAGATTAAAAAAATTATTTCCTGTATTCAAATTCCTCACATAAAAAAAAAAGTACAAAAATGCCATAATCGGGCTTATTTTGATAACTAGAATACATACTACACTTTTAAAAACTTTCTGAGCAATAAAACTTATTTTTAAGAATAATTATTCATGCTAAAATACAGAAAACTAAATATTATGAAAAAATATGTTTATATGGCTACCATATTATGGCTATTAAACAAGCCATTCAATTGCTAAATATAATACAAACAATTTAATTCATTATCATTATACTAGCTGATATAAGAATTATTAATGATTCAAGAAATATACAAAGTATAACATATTATATTGTTAAACGAATCACCTTCAAACGTAGTTAACAGCAAGAGATAAAAAACTATAAAAGAAAATTACTAGTTCATAAATTCTGATACTCGAATCGATCTCGAACAAGTTAGTATACAGTTCTATCTGATAGCTTTTAGGTCGTCACAGTCAAAGTACATTCTCTTCACAACGCATGTGATAGATATATCTATTGAGGCGGTATAAATATTAAAAATGGTCGACATAATTAATCTTGATGAACCCCGATGGGATCAGACTCAATATTGGGGCCGTGCTAAATATTTTTTTACCACTACTAATCCATTAAATATCTTCAAGTCTAATGCTGAATTGGAAAGATGTAAACACATTGTTGACACATACAAGTAAAAAGTTAAAAATTTAAATTAAACATTTTTTATTTTAAATTATAATGAAATAGTGTACATTATCAGCGATTAATAATTTATTTACTAAATAAAAAATGTCTATGTTGTTAGAAAAGAAAATCGTATAATCGATGGTTTAACATTAAAAGATCTTTATAAAGCTAAAGATGTAGTTGACTCTGCATATCACCCAGAAACTGGAGAGAAAATGATCATTTTTGGAAGAATGTCTGCCCAAGTACCAATGAACATGATTATAACTGGCTGTATGATAACGTTTTATAAGTAAGAGGAAACCCATTTTTATAATTATGATCAATTGGAATTTTTATTGTTATTTTTAAAATCTAAAAAGACATGTAATAATGTATACCAAGGACGAAATAAAAAGAACTAGGGAGGAGGGAGCTTGCCACCTTAAACTTGGGAGTTTCACGAATACGTTCCGTATACCTTTCATAGAGCCCGAATACATCCGCGATTTTATATACGACTTTATGGAATAATCTTCTGCAAAAATACAGATTGACAAAAATAAAATAAATAAATATGATATAAAAATTAAAAACGGCTGGAGAGTTAACAATGTAGATTTTGTCAATGTAAGTGTTAAAAAATTATATATAAACTATATAAAGATTGAGCTGCACTAGTAAAAATTATAAATCATACATGTAAACCTATACAATTGTTTAATAATTTATTGTGATAAAATAGTTTTTGTATTATTACTTAATGTATTATTTATGTACAAATAATTTATACTCTATGTATTTTAGATAAAAATTATAATATCAATTTCACCTTCTCACAGCGTACCCTGGATAACGCTAAATAAAAAGAAACACATTTGACCCATGAAAAAAACCCATTTTGATTTCATCATATGCACTCGGGTAATGCTATTAGGCGGACGTTTTTAATATATTACAAATTGGTTATTTTGGGACTTCATTTTATATTTATATCATTATACTCATATTTATATATATAAATTTATATTTATTTTATTTTATATATTAATTCCTTTCTCAAAATATTTAATAAAATCTATTAGCATTCTTTACTTTTATTCATAAGGTGCATAAAAATTAAATAAAACATAAAGTTAATATTATACCAAATATATCAATATATATGGTATTATATCAAATATATACTATTAAAAAACTGTTTATAGCCGTTTTTAATATTTAATACTTTTCTTGGGCTTATTTATATTTTAAAGTGCTTTTAGAAATAATTAATCTTTAAGTTTATTTAAATTATTTTTATAACTAATTGGACTATAAAGTGGGTATATCAATTCATTATTGAGAATACAAAGTTCATATAAATATCAAACTTTTTTATTTCCTTAATGTTTTTATTAAATTTTGGTTTTATATAGTGTAATGTATATATTTTATTTATCAATGATTCAAGTTTTAATCCTAACTTAGACATAAAATTACACGAAGTTTTTACTCGTTTTCATACATAAAATACAATTTTTATATGAAAATAATTATTTCATAGATCAACACCAGCTGTTATATTTTGGCAATGGGCTAATCAGTCATTCAATTCTCTAGTTAACTATACAAATCGCAGTGGTAATTCATCCATGTCTATAGAGTATGTAACTGAATGATGAGTTATAACTTAAAATATTTATTGATAATATGAAATTTGTATGCTTTTCTATTTATTTTTTTTTCAAGTGAAGTATCCAAATCATATTTGTTAGCTACAAGTGGTGCTTTGGTTACAGCTCTGAGTTTAAATAAGCTAGTAAAAGTATGTTTTTTATTAATATAATTTCATTATATTAGTATATAATTTATATTGATAAATAATGTAAATATTTTATTATGAAAAACATTTTTTTGTGTTCATGTTTGGTTCAAAATAAGTAAAAAATGGCCGTAGTGTTTTTTATGGTATCTTGCTAAATCCGCTACTGTTCATGTCTAGTTTTTAATTTAATAAAATTATAATGTTTCATGAGATTTAGTGCATAATCCTATAGATATATTACAATTAATTTTGTCTTAGGAATGATAAAAAAATAGTGCCTTGGCGATAATTGGTTTATTCAAGATTTTCGTAATAAAAATCACAAGTAACCGAATAGTGCTATCAGAATTCATTTATTTGAATAAAAAAAAAAGATTTATGATACCTTATATATGACTTTTAGCTTCGATGCGAAGCTGAGAAGGTATTAATTTTACTATGATGTGTTTTTTTTTCGTGTCTGTTACCACTTTTTTTCAGCTCTCTCCGAATCGATTTATTTTAACGATACGCCAAAAAATCACAAATCGTATCTAGTCGCAGACATTATCTCAATAATTTCCCATGTTCTTCGTAAATGGCGGAAATCTCCAAAAAAATTACAAATTTAAAAATCGCTAATTTTCCAAATTTTTTCAATTTTTTTTTACTTAAAACTGCCATAACTTTTTCAAAAATGACAAAATCAATATAATTTTTTTTTTTATAATAATTTTATGTAATATACTTTATTATGGAAAAAAAAAATTCGGACTTTATTTTGTTTTCATGGTAAAAATAGTTGCCGTATGCTATTTTTGTGTTAAAATTCTCGATTTTATATTTTATATTTTTAACTTAAAAATGCTATAACTTTTTGAAAAATATATGGATCAATACAATTTTTTTATGAGAAATAATATTTATATACCTCTTTCATTCAACATATTTTTTCATTAAATTGGACCATTTCCTTTAATACAGGGGGGGTTCAAAACTTAAAAATGCATATAGAAAGTAGAACTGTTTCAACTTGTCTTTTTAAAGTGTTTCGGAAATATTGACATTTTTATATAAACCTTAAATTAAAATTAATGTAATATACTTCATTATGGAAAAAAAAAAATTTGGATTTTATTTTGTTTTCGTGGTGAAAACTAACATCAAAGTTAATAAAAAAAATACGATTTTTGTAAAAATATTCTTTTTTATATTTTTAATTTTATAATGCTATAACTTTTTGAAAAATGTATGGATTAATACAATTTTTTTAATGATAAATACTATTTATATATCTCTTTCAATTGACGTACTTTTTTCCCCTTTATATATTCATATATTACACTTTTATGAAATCTAAAATACATAAAATATAATGATTTACTTAACTTTTAAAGTTAAGTGGACCAAATATTAATAATGGATTAAAATATATATATATATATTTATTTTAGAGGTTACCAACTGTTATTGGACGATTTGTTCCATTTGCGGCTGTTGCTGCAGCTAATTGTATAAATATTCCTTTAATGAGGAAGAAGTAAGTAATTGGTTTTTAAATTAAGATTATATGACCAAAGATGAAATTTTTTACAGAGAATTAAATAATGGTATAGAAGTATACGATGAGAATAAACAATTTCTTGGATCATCTCAATCGGCTGCGTACCGTGGTATTGGGGCAGTAGTGTTTAGCCGTATTGTGATGGCTTCTCCGGGAATGAGTAGGTTTCAATCTTATTCATGTCAATTTTAATAATTTGATGATATATTTCTTCAAAGTTGTAACGCCAGTAATAATGGAAGCGATAGAAAGAAAAGGGTTAATAAAGAATTTTAAATGGGCATCGGCACCAATACAAACTATTTTATGCGGAATCATTTTAACATTTTCTACTCCTCTGTGCTGTGCTCTGTTTCCACAAATATCACCAATCTCAATTGAAAAACTTGAACCAGAGTTACAAGTAAAAAAACATTCATTCTTTGTAAAAATAACTGATTTTTATAAGTGATTGACAAATTGTTAGTTAAAAGTTCATTCTATTCCTAATTGAAAAAATTCTTCATTTTTTAAAAATATTTTTATCATGTATAAAATATTTAAATAATTACAATTTATTACGTCAATGAATAGACTTAACCATGTTATATAAAAAAACTTAATAATCTACAATGTATAAATTATGTATAAACCAACTAATTTTTTATTCATTACAAAAATGTAATAATTATAAAACATGTCTCAATCTTTTTTAACGTGTTAGCTGCGATAAAAATAGACAAATTTATTCTTCTTGTGAATGATAATGTTTCATATTCTAATTTATTATAGTTTTTTATTTTATGTATAAGAATACCATTATGAGAGTATCTAAAAATTGATTGTGGGAAGGGTAAAAAATATTTTCAATTTGATAAGCTACAGTAAACATTTTTGACATATTTTTTGTTCCTTAAATAATTAAATTGAGAGAAAAAAAAGGATATTTAAAATTTTCATAACAGCGTAATTTTAACAATGGAAGGGCGCCTGTTTCTCATAAAATTATCATTAAGTCAAACATTTTTCTTATTTTACAGAGTGCTGCAGCAAAATGTAATTCACGGACAGGTTTTTACAATAAAGGTCTCTGATAAAATGTTATATATTAAAAATCTTAATGTCAATTATTCTGCTCAAAAATGTAATAATAATAATAATAAAAATTAAGATCGTAATGCTTGTTATTCTAATAAATATTACTTGATTTAAATATTTGTAAATGCTGATTTTTTATTACAAAAATATAGGTAAGAATTGTTGTTTTAATTTTACCAGTTAGCTGGTAAAACCTCCTATTAGAAATATTTTATCATTATAGTCTGTATGAGGTCACTAAATTAAAAAAAGAATTTCAGTTGGTAAAAAAATTTTTTTGCTACTTTTTTTTTAGATCTGGAACTAACCTGATATAAAAAACGTTTCACATTGCCTATGTTGAAATTTACTTTCAACAATAGACCAAGCAAGATTGACATGTTTAATTTTGAGTAAAATTAGCTTTTTTATATTAAATAAAATCTAAACAAAAATTCAAATGAAACTAACTACGTTTATTTTGAGGAAACCCTCTTTCTGAAGGGTTTGCTTTTTTTCTTTTTAGGATAGTTATTCTTACTTTTCCTTTTTAATGGCCGTCAATACAGAAATACTCAAATTTTTATTAAAAACGCCAAAAAATATAAATTTATTTTTTGTTTCCGACATATTTTTAATAATAAGTAAATCTACTATATGACAATTGAGAAAATATGTTATTCATGTTGCTAAATCAGATTACTTCATATGCAAGTAACCTCAAATATATACATATTAGTACACTTATTCAAATATATCGCAGTTTAAAAACTTAAAAGTCAATAATAATAAAATACAAGTCTGCGTCATAATAACAATGAGATATGTAGTACATTTGTAGCATAATATAATTTACAAGAAAAAAAATGGGCAGAAGTAATTGTCAATCGGTAAGTGTTTTTTCAAATTCAATGTAGTTTTCGATTTTTTTGGTTTCAGTAATAAAGTTAAAATATGTAAATATTGAGTACTTTTTCATCGAAAATTACAACATTTTTTCGTGATATAATGTTATCTATTTAAAAGTTATTGAAATACCTCAAGTCAAATATTTTCTCAGTTTTCTTATTTTTTTCAATAGATAATTTCATCCAATACATTATACTTTGGATTCAAATACACATTACCTTTATGACCAAAGAATTTTGTATAGATGATTACTTTAAGTAGTTGTATGAGTGAATAATTTTACTTCTTTAATTCAATGGTAAAAAATTTAAGGAAAAATTTTGAGACGGGTGTCAATACATTGATCATAATGGAACGGTAAATTTATTAAATAACAAAATAACCAATTATTTGACATGATCATGTCAATAAAATAATATTTTTATATTGTTATTGTGCCGTTCGGTCACAGACACGTTTTGTACACTATACATCGTATGACGCACCATTTAGGTTAGTTACTTAGTATTTGCATTGAAGTACTTTTTAAGTAATCGCTAGCAATAATATAAAAAACCATAAACAAAACAGAAACGATAGAATAGGTTATTATTTAGCTACGAAATAACGTACACGGTGACGAGTGTAGCACCTCTCACATGAACAACATCAATGCAACAATGGTGAAGAGCTAATAGCAAACGCGTTACGAGTACCGCCGACGACGGGCGTTAACGTTCGTATGCACGTCCCAAATACGTTCGCAAGAGTGCCGTCGAATGATAATGCCAGCGCTGACTACGGCAATTGCTAATGAATGTATGTGACCGTGTTGGTCCCCTCTTGGATAAACGAACCTTTTTATTTTGATGAGAGGAATAGTGTACATGAGGAGGAATGAGTAACGATCGTTGTCGATGGGGAAGCGGCGGTCGGGAAAACGGGCGGCTTTTATGTTATAACGAGAATAGTGCGAGAGTGAGTGAGAAAGAGAATCAAGAAAAAAAAAACCTATTCGGTGGCGGTGGCCTAGTAGATGTTGAGTCACGTCCAAAAATTGGCGGCCGCGCTGGGTTCCATACCCGATAGAAATGGATTTGCCCGATCGACGGCTGAGCTGAAAAGTGGGAGGCGAGTTGTTTTCGTGCGGTTTCTATCGTCTCTTCCCCACCGCTCCGACCGTAAACGCTACGGGTCTCCGCAACCACGGCAGCCGCGGACTACGGGTTTTGCGGTGACGTCAGCGCGCCAGGCGGACGGTATGCTTGCAGCGTCAGTAGGGGAGGGTGGGGGTACTCGTCAACAAACCATAGCAACTCCCTGCTCCGTTTTCCGCCGCATTCGCCGATGAGATTCAAACGAGTACGCGTGCCGCGTTAATTTATCGGCTAAATAGTAGTATATAAAATATCCGTGTGGTATAAAATATATACGTATATACATCTATATCATATATAAATGATAATATTTGTGTTTTAATTTTTGTTTAATTAATTAAAATATTGTTTGATATTTATTTTTTACGAATCAATTAGTGCGCTTGTTTAAAATCTGCCGCCCGATGGACGTGTTAAAGTGAAGTGAGTTTAGTTCAGTTGTGCATTTTTAGTGGCGATAATCATTGTTGTCAGTGTCGATTATCGCATAAAACGTGCGTGTTTCTCAGTGTGTGTGTGTGTGTGTGTGTGCTAACTGTGCGATGTTAACGCTAATTAACTGTTGACCGTCGTCGTTGGCTTTGCCCGTTGTTGAGTTCGCGTCGTCGTCCGCCGCCGCCGCCATCCCGGTCTCTGGTGTCCAAATTCGTTGGTCCGGTTGATTCGTTGTGTGCGGCCAGTGTGTTTGGGCGTGTTCCCGAATGATGAAGAGTTGGAGACATAATGGTTAGGGAGACTCGCCATCTTTGGGTCGGAAACCTACCGGACAATATACGCGAAGAGAAAATCCGCGAACACTTCAAGAGGTAAGCAGAAAGCGGAAATTACCGTTTTCGATGTCGATCTAATCTTAACGATTCCTTTAGCAGATGTTATGACTAAATTTATCGTTGTTCGATTACTACTATCATATCGGTTATATATCATGTGCAAACTAAGTGCACACTTGAAAGAATAGAATAGTGTATCTGCTTATATCGCAGTGAGCCTCTGTATGTTTTTACCTGTGTATGAACACAACGAGTGCTCCAGTTTAGGTTAGTGTGTTTTTACCTGTTTATTTGGTTTATACTTGACTGAAAATCTGAGCGCATAATCAAACTAGCCAATGGATTTGACAGTATGGCGCAGGTAGATCACCCAGGGAAATCTATTGAAAGTCAAATCGCTACATTGATAACACGTTGGTATCATACGTCATTTAGTATCTGTGGTGTCGTGTAATAAATTAATTGCACTTTATTGGACACGAATACAGTAAACTATTCTACATGTCTGGCACCTACGCCCATACATTTCTTGTCGTATATGTGTACTCGTGAAAGATTATTTCGGGTGTTGCTAGTATCAACAACTGTATAGTATTATCAAAAACCATATAATGAATAGCAAGTTTTTGATTATGACGTATAGCGATTGTTACTATTCAAATATAAACCATGTAGATGTTGACGAGTTTCGTCATAGGTAATTCATTACGATATAAAGATTGTCAATATAGGTTTTTGATGTTGTGATCGACGAAGGATGAAGTCCCTGGACGTTTTAAGTCATTTGACATTAGTTAGTTGTCCTATCTTTTTAGGATATAGCAAATTCTTATTAGTCTTTTATGTTCTCTGCGATTCTTATCAAGAATTGAATCGAGTTATTATTAATTTTATTATTGTTTGTAAAGCAACGAAAGCAAAAAAAATCTAGTGATTTTATAGTAAAATATTTTAATACCAAAAGAGAATATTTTTCAATCTAGGTTTTCATTGTTTACCATTTGATCGCATTTAAAAATGTGCCCCTTAGTCAAGTAATGTATTTTAATTTTTTTTATTAAAATACGTTCCGACAGTAATCAACAGGAATCTTAACCACTTATCTGCTTGTGTTGTGCATATGACTTTTCGTTATTGAATAATTTTGTGATTTTTTTATTAAAGACGTTTAATAGGTTTCAGTTTTAATTTTTTATGTATCATTTTAAGTTATAATTACGTTAAATATTTCATTGTTATTTGAACAATACGTAATTTATGATGCGAAAATCTCAAACAAATCGTATTATTAAGAAATGATAGGCTTTACTTTGATTATATTTTTAACATGCGCTAAATTTAAAATTAAAGAATGACTCGAAACTTTTATTAACTATTTACTTGTTGTATACAAACTTAGTATTTCAAAGTTTTGGCATTGTATATTTCATGCGTATAACAATGATTTACTTTTACACCAACACTTAAATTGCCAAAATTCCTTTCCACACTTTAAGTCCTTGAGTGGCACAAACGAGAAACAAATGAGAGGAGCATTTTCCATCAGTTTAATATTTACGTTAGATGACGTTGTTGGTTTTACGTCTCGTTTGTTGTTTCTTAGGATTGAATTTCGTGTGAGCCGGTCAACATTGATTAATGAAGATCAATTGATATACGAAGATCAAAGAATTATTGTTTTATACTCATTTTATGTGGAAATCCAACACCATATAACTACGTTTATTACCTAGGGAAAAGGAATGTCGGTTGTTACATGAAATTGGGTAAAAAATAAAAATACCAGTTCTGCTTGAGAGGACGTACTAGGGAAATGGGTTTCTCATCAACATGTGACGTTTGTTGTAAACAGCCCTTCTTCCTTCACTTCGGTAGGAAGACCAGTATGTGTTCCTTTTGGTACTATTATACTTATTACGCGATATTCTCCACTTAAAAGTAATTTTCTCAACATTTCTACGGGTTTTCTTATTCTCTGCTGGACAGCAGGTGCAGGGTTCTGTCTGTCGTCCGTTTACAGTTGATTTTGTTATAATCCTCAGTTGATGTTTCCGTCGTCGAAATATAAAAATGAACACGAAACACTGTGTGGTAGTCCCTCATCGTCATAATAGTATGTCGTCAAATTGTGTGGGAGAGTATTTTAGTGAGCAGGGAGTATTGTGCGATAGAGAGGAAAAATACTGCTGTCTGCGCGGAATTTACAGGTCGAAACGGGCAGGGCTGCTCCCGTACATGATAACGTCTATTGATTTCTGGCCTCCGCCTGAAGGGAATGTTGCTGCTGCGTAAAAGGGCGCGCTTTTGTCGTCGGGTGTGCCTTCCTCCACTACCATCACCACCACAGCCATAGTCGGCACGTTTATTTAGGGGACACAACCCTATAAGCGCGATTCTTATTGTTACAAAATGTTATAATAATACATGTTAAAGATTATTATAGAGTGTTGCCACTTTCCTCGTTGTTAAGTTTTTGTAAACCCCCTCCTAATATTTTGGAATAACGTAATCACGACCTTATACGTGTACATCTTTCGTTTGTATTTCGTTAGTGGCTAAGTTAATTCATTTTTTTTTTTTAATGAAAATAAGAATCAGATGTGTGTTTGATGGTTTATAAATGATATATTGATATTTTCATTAATTTTTAATAACCCGTTAATATTACATATATTTATGTAGCCTTTGATTGAAACAAGGTTTTCAAGTAGGAAAATTTAATTCTAATTACCCACAGAAATTTTATTATAATGTACTATTCTTAAGTGTTACTTTTCCCGCCAAATATTCAGTAAATTGCTGAGAGTAATTTTTTTTCTATATTATTCAAGTAATATCTATAGAGCTTGGTGTTAATTCTTTTTAAACAACATGAATTTTTTTTTGAATGAATACACACTTTAGTGAAAGTTTACAATTGTTGAAAATTAATTAAAATTTTTCTTTTAAACGTTTTATAATTTAACACAATTTTTTAACGAGTATTCGAGAAACCCTGTTATGAAAACTGTACTAGCTCAAGATAACTATCCTAAGGCCTTAATAAACATTTAATTTTGAGTATATTTATTAACCATCGGGTTAAATTATACTTTACAGTCTTTTTCATGTACATATTAAGATCTTTACTAGGTATTATGGTGTAGACTTTTTTTGATATGATTTGGATATTATTTTTTTTCAGTTAGGTTTTAGTTTTGTTTATTGTTAGATATATGTTTAAAAATATAATTGTTAACATGTCTCATAGATCCGGAAGAAATGGAATAGGTCGAAAAATATCTTATCGCTAAGCGTATGACCTCGTTAAATATTGCCCTGTACCTTCAGACTTGTATTTATTTCAGTACAGTGGTTAATGATAATTTCAATGATAAATTTTAAAAATTAAGTAATTAAACACTATGTTGCATAAACTTTTTTATGTGCTTTGTGGCTTGTATGAACTAGATTTTGTTGGAAATATATACCTGCTTACATTAGTCTAGAGATAGTACATTTATTTAATTTTGTGATTTTAGTGATATACTTAAGAAAGATGATTTGTTTAAAATCAGTTTTTTATATTTAAGTAATTCGCATTATTTTATACATTTATTGTGAAATTGAATTATATTTTAATGAAAATTTAAATTAATTTTTAATGACAATTATATTATTAAAAATTAGATAACGCTTAATTAATTTTTACAATACAAATGCCTCATTTTCAAAATATGTTAAAAAGACAATATTTTGCTTAAAACAAATTCTATGCATCGATGTGATGTTTGATAAATCATTTAACAATTACATCCTTTTTTAAATCTCTGTATTTGTTGAAAATTAAAAATTTTTTTTATAATGCGTTTATTTCGCAAAAAACCAAGTCCAAAAATAGATAATTATTAAAAAATGTACTATTAGTAACATATATCCATACTTAACTGCTTTGTGTAAATGAAAACGAAGTCTATCGAAGAATAAAGATATTAGGTGCTTCATTGAAACATAAAGTTTGTACCATTTTAAAAAAGCTTATTGTCAAATAAACATGTTTAGACTTACACACATTTTGCGTAAATCAGTATCGTCTCCATTGATAAACTGTTTCAAATTAATCAAATAATATTCTACAACGTTTAAATTAACATTTATTGTGTTATTTTTAATCAAACCACAAATCAATTAATGGAATATTAGTTTTAAAGATGAAATTTAGTCCTGGATATTATTCTAATGGTAAACGAACATTGACCTTACATAAAATGGTTTCTCAAACAGGTTGTGAAGAGCATAAAATTCTTCGGCTCGTTAAAATAAATTTGCAAGTCACTGGAAATTAGCTAGGACTATGTTTGTCCGTCAATGGGAGTTAAAAAATTCGATTATTTTTAAAAGATGGACTGATTTTCTAATTATTGTTTTTAACATAGATACGTGAAAAATATTCTTAATTCTACGTGCTTTCTTATTATAGGAATATTATTGTGTGAACTAATATATTCGGGATAATCTTATCCCAAGTTATGGCAGGTGAAATAACATTTATTTTTTACTGTCATACTTGAAATTAGCCTATGAATAGATTTATTTGTATATATAAATATTAATCTGGATGAAGGAAAATTAAAATGGTTATTTATTAAAATATCAGCTACATTATTTTTTAATTAGGTAATCGATTTCAGTTTTAAGTTAACATTTTTTATGAGTAATTTGAATTATATTTCAGACGTAACGCATCGTCTATTAGTTAGTAGCTAGTAAATTCAACCTTTGGTATTGTATAATAAATGTGTAGTTTGTATATTGTAATGCATTTTACACTTTTTATTGACATTTTCAAGATAAAACCCATCGATTGTTTAACCTTTAAACTCAATTGATAAAAATCTTTTTTATTGATCATTCTCTCGGTTAAACTATACGTTTTTTATTCTATAAATTTTTATTTATTTTAATTATAATTGAAAAAATAGACTATTTCAAACAAAGTATAAGACTCTTGTATATCAATATCAATTTTTTAATTTAGTTTCTTATTCAATTCTTGC